AATTTTCCGATTTAATTATGATACCGTTATGCTTAAAATTTTTTTAAAAAATATTTGAATGGCTTAAGTTATGTTATATAATACTGCAGGTAAAATCAACGTTGTGACAGGTTAAGCCAATCACCATGCCTTAAATCATAATGAAAAAGTTGAATATAAAAACGATCGTATTTGAATATATATATATTTTTTTTTCGATTTTATACGTAAATTAATTTTAACTAAAATAAGAAAAATGAGCAAATTAAAAATTTAAATAACCCTATCGATTTTTAATAAGACTTAAAAGAGAATAAATTTTTTAATAAAGCTTATAAATTTTTTTTTAATATAAAAGTCATTAAAATGCCTCGCAGGTTATACTAATTTGGATATATTTTTTTAAAAAAAAACATAAATCGGAGAAAAGAACGATATTTCCGGCATCACTTCATTTTTAGTTATTAATTCAAACTCAAAATTTTAGGCCAACATTACGAATTGGCGTGGAGACTGAAGTTGGTGGTGTAGAAACTGAGGTTGGCGTAGAAACTGAAGTTGGTGTAGGAACTGAGGACGAAGTTGACTAAATATATATATTTAATATAAGTATATAAATATTAAATATAAATCAATAAAAAAAAAAATCACTAATAAATAAATAATTACCGTATCTCTTAATTTTATTTTTTTGTCCGATGTAATATTATGTGTACGGGTACCCAATAGTTGAAGAAACTTTCGATCGTAACGAAGTGAAAATGCTCCAACTAATTTAAAAAAAAAAATTATATTAGTAATAATATAAAATTTATATAATTTTTTAATATTGAATTTAATCTTCTTGTAATAAATAAAATTCCAGCATCACCATTTTCACCATGCGATTGAGCCCATTCCATAAGTTTTTGATTGCTAATTTCAGTTATTTGGTATAGTTGGTTCTAAAAAAAACATCCATAACTAAATATAAAAAAATTAGTAAATATCGTATGATATTATGTTAAATCTATATCTATATCATATCATGTCATATCTCATATCATATCGTGTCATATATCATATCATATCACTTTATATCATATCTATATCATATCTATATCATATCATATCATATCATATCATATCGTCTTATATCATATTATGTCTATTTTATAACATATCTATATCAAATCATATCATATCATATCAAGACACCAATATTAGTTTTCTTGCGAAGACATAGTAGTCACAAAAACAACTCAAAAGGTGTGTATTTTACATTAGGGAATCACTTCAGTAACATTTTTTTGAGAAAGACCTTTGCAAAAATATGTTAAGAAAGTGTTATATCATATCATATCATATGATAATATCATACCTTATATCAAATCATATCAAATCATATCAAGACACCAATATTAGTTTTCTTGCAAAGACATAGTAGTCACAAAAACAACTCAAAAGGTGTATATTTTACATTAGAGAGTCACTTCAGTAACATTTTTTTGAGAAAGACCCTTGCAAAAAAATGTCAAGAAAGTGTATATATCATAATCATATCATATCATATCATATCATAATATCATACCTTTCACGTTTATGTTATTAAGGAAAAGTAAGAGTTCGTGTCTTTCATGTCCAAAAAGTAAGAAAAGTTCGTGTCTTTCATTGTCCAAAATCTATTTATATATCATAATTTATGTAAACAAAAACTTTTTCATCTGATTGGCTAATGTAGATCAATTAAGCCCGATGATCACGGGATGTATCATTCTAAATGAAAACTTCTAGCAAATATTTCTAATACCTACGTAAATCATTTTCATCAATCAGATAATAATATATATTTAACAATAAGTTATGATTTATTATATATAGTATTACCGAATTGTTGAAGTGATTACGTCACTGGCACTTTGGGAGGGCTGCCCTGGCTGATATTTCAATTTTTTTTTATTTTAATTCTATTGTTTAGTAGAATTGAAATAAAACCATCGCTAAAAGTTTTAAAAAAAACATAATACAAGTGACTCTCGATATAAGAAAGGTGGTTGGGTCCATAGTAAAAATTTTACAAATCTTTCTTATATCAAGAGTAGGGGTTGGACCCGGGTAGAAATTGTTGATATATGATCATAACAAATTACCTGGATAACCCGGGTAATTTAATAATACCCGGGTAGGGATTTTCTCAACGGGTCAAACCTCTAATCAAGAGTTTAATAACTTTCTTATATCGAGAGTTTAATTAGTCTTTCTTATGGTTTCTTATATCGAGAGTTACTTGTATATCAAAAAAAAACTGAAATCGGGTAATTGAGCTTTAAACGAAGATTTCTTGACAACCTGATTTGATGAATTTTTATTTATTCAGAATTAAATAAAAAATTTTTGATCGAATTTGGATAGCTAGTTATCGAGAAATGTTAATTAAAGTTAAAAAAAAAATGGGAAAATGAAAATAATTACAAATACGGGCTCAAATTAAAATAATTACATATAAAGGCCTAATTTTTAAAAAAATATTACTGATATAACAGACAAACTTACTGGTTTAATGGACAAATTTTAAAGAACTAAAATTTTAATATATAATAATTTATAATGGTTATAACGGATTTAATAATACATATCGATATTATATATAACGGAATGGTTTGTCAGCCACTTTTCGAATTTATTAAGGATTTTTTATTTATATAACGATACGAAATAACATTCCGAAATCGCAAACTTAATCGAATCGGCTGAAAAATCATTTTGCAATTTTATCAGATGTCAGAATTTATGAACTATTTTATTGGTTAAAATGATAACGGTTTAATTACCTACCGGGTCGGTTCGGTTCATTTGAAGACCCGAATTAGCCGGATCCAAAAAATTATGGACCCGACACGATCCGTCGGTTCGGATTCGGTTCGGGTATGCTTTTTACACGTTTGCGTAGGTCAAGCTTCCTGATATGTACGTACCCGATAGTTTGCCATAGAACCGCCAAATACCTGCTGTATATCAGCAGCATATTGGAGGCATATTGGTAAGATATCGAGTAAAATACCAATATTGTGCTGTTATTTTACCGATATCGATTTACTTCTTCCATTATATAGCAAGTATTTGGCGGTTCTATGGCAAACTATCGGGTCATATGTATCCGATATTCATTGATTCAACCCGTGTTGGGTAAATTATTCGGGAACATTTTTAGGAATATAATAGTAAGACAAATTTAATTCGCCAAAAGTATCCACGGGTTTACTACACCAATTTCGTTGATCTACCTTTTAGCCCGTGACAATACAAATTTTGAGTGCATTTTTTATAGCATTCTTTTAGGGTTAGAGTAAGGGTTTAGGGGTAGAATTTATAATAAACAAGTATAAGTGGGTCAAATAGAAATCCTTATTTCATTTTAATCCGATTTCATTGTTATATGTGCGACATTATATGGCTACAATAGATTACTCGGTTAACCGAGCAATTTAATAATATTAATATTCGGGTAGAGATTTTCTTGACGGGTAAATCTCTATCTGATATACCTAATTTGCTTATCCTTTTACGTACTTAACATGTATTACTGTATTAAATAATATTAAATATTTATTATTCGTACACTTAGAGTACTCTCAAGTAGATGCTGGTGAAATTAGTTTCACAGTTTCACCAGTTTCGCCAATAGTGGTGAATTATTTCATCACCCTTATTTTATTTTACCAGCATCTTTCCTCTCAAGCATTTCATGTAATTAGCTAGTAATCGAGATTGTGCACAAGTACTACGATTAATTGAAGTAATCCTTTATGACAGTTTTACTGAAAATTCGTATCTTGAACACAACTCTATGATAAAAAAAGAGGGTTTCGTGCCATCTTTTTCTTTTACTGCGATAATGAATTAATTTGACTGACTAAACTATTTTCCAAATTAAAATTGAGCTTCGACCTATCAGTTTAGGTGCTTGAGAGCACTCTTAATCACATAGTGGCGTAAGAAATGTGCATAAACAAATAAATATAATATTTCTTAAACTCTAGTGCAAAAAATCTAAAAACTACAATTACTCCTCAGAGACAAAGTATAAACATTGAAATCAAATATTTTTCATTAACACAATATAAAGATGGTTTAATATAGAAATATTGTAACATATAATGTTAAATAAAAAACACTCGTGAATTTATTATCATTAAGAAAAAAAAATGGATGAACTTGAAAAAACAACTAATACTCAAAATCTTGAACCAAAATCTGGTAATAAAAAACTAAATGACAGAGAAGAACGAATCATTAACTTATCTTTTAAATCAATATCAATATTTTAATTTCAATTTTTGCTCTTTCACATCGATATATTTTATCTATCGTAGGTAATGTTTGACAGCATTATTTAGTGGAGGTGGACTTATCGTAAGCTTAAAAAATATCTTTTTCAACTAAATAATTGATTATAATAAACAAAGGAGTTACAATTCATAAAAAGTTAGTAGATCTCATTAGAAAAAGAATTAATACATTAAGGCTAGAGATGCCAAGAAAACCATGTGGTGCTAAATCATCGCACACTATAGCTTATACTTATTGCATGCGACTTAAAAAAATTACTAGTTATTTTCTTGTGACTATTTAGCATCACATGGTTTTCTCGGCATCTCTAATTAAGACACTCTTTTTATTATTATAAGTTCTATAATTATACTTATTTTAGTTATACACACTTTAACAAACTCAATCGATGATAGCTAATAATATTGCTAGATTTTCTCCTAGAGTATGTTATCGCGTTTTTCGAAATGGTTAAAAAAAATTTTTTCGAGTATACCCGTATATAGATACTGCATACCGGATTACCTTAGCATCTTAATTGAAGATCGATGCTTGGTTTACTATTGTTTCAAACAATAAGTATGTATGTAATAAAACATCGATCTTAAATCAACGTGCTAATATACCGGATTACCTATTGAAGATCGATGCTTGGTTTACTTATTGTTTCAACAATAAGTACATATGTATGTAATCAAACATCGATCTTAAATCAACGTGCTAAGGTAATCCGGTATATAGTATACGGGTATACTCGAAAAAAAATTTTTTTTCCCATTTTCAACCATTTCGAAAAACGCGATAATTCTCTGAAAACCGCATATTTAATGTCTGGCGACAATTATATAATATGCAACATATCAGGAAAAGTAACAGATGATAAATTAGGTCTATGTAAAACAGCACTCGGCTGTGGTTTCTCATATAGTAAGGTTCCTACTGATGATGAATACCATGACACAGATGGTAATCCAGTGCTTTGCAGTGATGATGGAAATCAAAGTTTAGTTAATTCAACTATTTTCTGTGGAGGTGTGACAACTAAATTTTCTACTCTAACCGAAATATTGAAGGAATATAAAACAAATAATTGGATAATATTAACATTTGGAATACTTTGCATAATTTTATATTTTTGGTTGTAAAGATTCTGATATTGGTTCTTAGAAAGCAAAAAAAAATGGTATGGTTTGGCGTTGATTGAATATAAATCACCATCTAAAATCACGTTCTAAATCTAGATAAAGGTTGATTTAGATTTAGAGCTAATGGAGGATGGATAGGTTACATATCACTTTGTACAAAACTTTTATATTTTTATTTTTTTAGAATACAAAAACGAAAAAAAAAATTACAACCAATTAATGAGATGTCACTGGGTACACTATACATCAAATAACAATTTCTTTTAGTTTATTTTATTAAAGATATTTTATATATTTTTATACTCATAAGTATATCTAATAATCAGACTTATCAGACTTATCATACTTATGAATATAAAGAGGATCATACTTGTATGTTGGATGATCGACCATTAGTAATATCAAGTATTTCGGCATTATTAATATTAATAAAGTGACGATTTTAAAATTTTTATAATGTAATATTTTCGCAATTTTTAAAAAATTAAAGCAACCAACGTAAAAATTGTATTTTACTTTTGACCTGACTCGCACTCATTTCCCGTCAACTATAGATTTGTTGATTATTAATCGACCGAGTCATTCACCAACTTAAGTCGGCTTTTAATGTAAATATCAAATTTACTATAATTCAAATTCGCTAAAAAAGCTTAATTTTATTCTTTATGTTTATAAAAAGCAAAATAAAGTTCACTAAAGTCATCATATCATCTTTATATTCAAAAATAAAAACTTTCAAGCACATTAAAATATATTTAATCTTTACAGGTTAATAAGGTTCAAAAATAGTCTTAAACTTTTAAATTAGCCAGGCTATAATCGCTCAAAGTTCGTAAACAGATAAAGAACAAATTGATTACTACAGTGCAAAACGTCTTAAAGCAACAACTTTTTTTTAAAGCGGCAAAATTTAAAGACAAAATACTAATTTTTGATTGGTTAATATTTTAAAATTTTATTATGTTTTTTTATGTTCTTAAACTTTTTATCATGTTTTTTAATATACAGTCAACTTTTGCTAAACCGAACCTATATACCGAACCCTGGTTATCTCGAACAAAAAAGGTAAGAACATTTAATTATAAATAATTACTGAACAATCATAATAAAATTCGTTAAACCGGATCCGACATTTATTTAGTGCAAATACGAAATGCATTTAACATTCCTTAACATTCCTTTTAGAGATAGCGTTAGATTTTTATTTTTTTCGCGAAAAAAAGGTTATTTTATTTACTTTGACAAGGTAAAAAAGGTAATACCCGCAAGAATGCTGACTTTAAATATTAATAAATTCAGCTTGGACGGGAGAAGGGCCTCGACAAAGGTATTTTACAGGTATATCACCCTTAGTTGACAACGACATATACCGAAAGTATATCACGTGGCTAGCATATGATTGGCTAATTTTACATACCGAACGCTCGGTATAAAGAAAGTGTATTCCGGATTCACTATGTCGAACAAAATTTGCCAGAACGGCTTGTTTTGTTTTGAGAGAGTTGAACAGTAAGTGGCCAAATATTTTAATTTGATTAATAACTTTAAAAAGCAATAATATTTTCAAAATTTTATTAAATTAAAAAATAAATTTTGTAACTTTGCTTTGCTTGTTTTTGCAGAAAAATTTTTTTATTTATCTATATCTTTTATATTTATAAATATTAGTTCTTACTTGCTGGTTTAAGATATCCTGCACTGTAATAGAATAATAATAACTAATATAATGTTTTAGCCAATCATAGATTTGCATTTTACGGTTTATTCAAAATTACCGATTTCGTGATGCATAAATTTGCAATTTGAAAAAGCGTCCTGCTCTAGTATGAGATCTTGCCGTATATGGCTTTATACAGTATCATATGACCTGAACTAATTCTTTTTTTTTTTTTTTAACGAATTTTAACAATGAGTAGCATTCGGACTTTGGATATAATCAGCAACTTTATCCATAACTCTCACTTAGTGCACATCAAAAACGCATTTCATGTTCTCTGGATATTAATATTTAAAAAGAATTTGAAAGAGAGAGAGAAAAAAAATATATATATCGGAATGGGGCCACGCCCCCACCTGGATTCGAACCAGGATCCTTTCGGTTAACAGCCGAACGCGCTAGCCGGTTGCGCCATGGAGGCCCTTATTATGCGGGCTTATTTTTTTTCATTTCATTCCTATACCCCGTTTAATTTTCACCTATAGTAAAAATAAATTGATGCATGGCGCAGCGGATATGCACTTTATATAGCTTTTTTAACATGCCAAAGCTTCATGAAACTACAGTTGCATAAAATTTTGATAGAAATTATTATTTTCATTTGATTTGATTACAGCTCTTATCTAAATATTACAACATTGCCGAACAATTAATATAACGATTACTTCTTATATATATACAAGCATTACAATAATAAATAAATTAATTCGTATCTATTATACTGAACATAACGTATATACACATTACATATAATATGCAGCAGATAATTCATCAATCTCTGAAGTTGGTGTTAACGGTCTATCCAGGATCCTTTTTATTATTTGATAACCTCCTTTTGGTGGTGGTGGCAATCTCTGGTCTTCCGGTCGCATTGGGAGTGTAAGCGGGTCAGGTGATGAATCATAATCCAAGTTTTCTTGTCTATTTTGGTCACCCTTTGATTCAAGCGACTCTACTGATTGTTTCTCAACTTCTTTTTGGGAATCGGCTGTTTGTGGTGGACTTTTTAAAGCTTCTTTATCTTCTGCGTCGTCATCTGACGGTAATATGTTACCAATTTCTTCGAGTGATGCTGAAGATACATTATCTGTGTGATATTGCGAATCATCTGTAACTTTGACGGGAGTTGATGTCATGATTGGCTTCATATCACGCCAGTCTTCCGAAATATATGTGTCGTTTAAATAGTCTTGTTCTTGCAACTTGTTAAAAAAAAAAAACAAAAAAATTAAAACTTCTTTTATCACATACGAAAGTGATTACTAGCGATGTTATCTAAACTAATTGGGATATCCCAAACTACATGATGAATGATAGCACATTAGGTATTTACTGAATTATTGTAATTGCCGAAACTGTATGATACTATTCATAACGTAGTTTGCGTGACATCTCTAAGTGAATACATAAATTTATATGAATTTAGATGTTAATTCTTTACCTCACCAGGCTCTGTCGCAGAGCTGACGATAAGTTCACTATTATCATCGTAAATCTTGAAATCGACTCGCTTTTCGTCTTTTTCTAAACCCTTATTCTTTTGCAATACGTCTTTATCCAGATTCTTCTCAGTTACAAGATTAGATCTAATAACGACTTCTTTTATCTGATTTGTGCCATTATCTTTTTTATTTGATTTGTCCTTTAAAGCACGTCTGGTGGTTTCCTTGGCTTCCCGTTTCTTACTATTTTTGTCACTTGCGACAATTGTATTATCGTTATCTGCGTCAACACCACGCTTTTTCTTAATTTTTACATCATTCTTTGTTTTACTGACGGATTTACTTTTTATGCCAAGCTCTAAAAACTCATCAAAAATATCATATTTTGTATTTGATTGTGCTAGTGCCAATTCATTTTGGGAAATAATTTGTCCTAAAATAAAAGTCGAACCTTCATGTTTCTGTTCTGAACTTTGAATCGTATCGACTGTATCATTGAACGAATCTACTTGAATAGAGCATGAAATAAAAAAAAAAATAAAAAAATGTATCGTGTATCTTTTACAATATTTTTTGTATCGAAATGACTTCTATCTGAATGTTTATTCACCTCTTTCCACATCATTTCCTACCGCTTTCGCGCTATTTTCCTCATTCGCATCTGGAAGATTTTTTTTACTGCTAGTACCTTTTTTAAATGTATATTTTGGACGTGAACCCATAGAAGTGAATCGCGAAATGTTAAAAGATGACATTTTTTTTTAAAGGATGCAACTACGGTTTTTTTTTTTTTTTGAATATAAAACCTTGTCAAGATAAGGTTAGTATATATATAAAATGAAGTTTATTATATTCTTTACCATATCATTATGATTATCAAGGAATTGTTTGTTAGGTTAGTGATAATAAAGTTTATTAAACAACGTTTTAAGGTTTCGTCATATTTGAATATTAATTATTATATAAACACAAAATACTATATGTAGTTTTGTATTTTTTTCGTCTTTTTACTATGCTAAAAGAAGAAATTGGGTTATTAATCAATTATCTTTTAAACATCTAACAGAGAAGCTTTGCTTGTTAAAAAATTGTTATATTTACTCAAGTTTTTCCAAACCAAAATAAAAATATAAAATATTATTAGCTATAAGGGTCATGACAAATATACGATTATTACTATTTATATTACTATATTAACCCAATTTTTTGATTTAATTTTCAATATCCCTTCTTATAAATATTTATTTTTTATACTTATTAATGAAATAACTAAGTACTAGCTATATTTCGCATATAAAAAATTATATTTAAAATTACAAAATAGCTTTTATTATTAATTAAAATTACAAATTTATATGGGTTTTTCTAGGCATCTCTAGTCAGAGATATATAAGTTATATATCTCTGGCCTTTTGGCCAATTAAAATGCAAAAGTCACGTGATCGCCATTTTGGCGATCACTCGATCTCATGCTTACGTCGGATAGGTCGACTATCTTCGTGTAACCCGGATCATCGGCATTAAGGAAAAAATAAAAATTTTCAGAATTTGAATCAAAATATCTTGATAATTAATTACTCAAATTTGACAAACCTTTTTTTTATTTGAATTCTGTGCAGAGTAGCAGGTGGTAAATTTACCATGGTAAAATTATAGTAATTTACCAGGTAATTTACCAAAGATGTGGTAAATTTACCTTTATATACTTAAAGTTGAGTTTGTCTATGTAATTTGATTGGCCAAAAAAAAAAAAATTAATTAGCAAATTATATGATTTTATATTAGGAAAGTGTTATTTATCATCTGATTTTTTTTGGGCCCCCTTCCTACCAAAATATCATGTACGTATGTACATATACTTTCGGAATTTCAATTCATTTATCATATAGAGGGTAATATTTACTATTTAAAAAAATCAGGTGATAAATGACACTTCCCTTATATAAACCTTTTTAAAAATAACTAATAATAAATTTACCAGTAATTTACTAAACAACCTGGTCTGTGTATTTATAGAATTCAAATAAAAATTTTTATCAAAATTGGTCAAGTGGTTATGCAAATATCTTTGCTCAAAGGTAAGAGAAAAATCAAACTATTTATCAATTTAGAAATCACAATTTTTTAAAAAATTTGTATAAAAAACTCTTTCTGGTTCACCCCTGAAAATCATTAACAATAGTAAAAAGTAAACAAAATCTTTGCAAGTTTTTAGTATTATAGTAATTCA